TGATCTCACGAATTCGATCTCACAATAGCATGAGCTTAGTGCGTGTAACAAACTGATCTCAACGACCTCGGAGCTCGGATGCCAACAGTTATCCCCCCAGGTCAGTGCTTACCTTGGCGACAGACTAAACTGGAGTGTACTTGGTACATTTTTTCATTTCCATAATCATTACAGCAATAAATGACATGAACAGGTGTCGTGCCATAACTCACTAATGAGCTGTCATGCATACTTAGTTTCTTCTTCTAGAAGCTTTCGGCGAAACGATGTCGTTCTGAGGTAATTAAATCTAACCATTTATTTTCCCTCCATTTTCTCATCCAATGGTCTATATCATGCCTTTTAATATTCCTTCCCTTTAAATGACTTTTATCCCCTCATTTTCTCACTTCACTTTCATCTTTTTCAGACTTTTGCTTTCTAAAAACTTTTCTTCGCATTCTTATCTATTTTTCGAGTGAGGTCATCCATATTTAGGTATTCCTTTAGCAAAAAATACCATTTTGTCTTTTTTACTTTTCATTGATTTTTAGCATCAATTACTATCACCTCGATTTACCTAAATAATTAAATACTTTTAGGAATATGGACCAAAACTATGAAAGAGAAGATGTGGGATTTCAGGGGGGTAATGAGGGAAACACTCAGGAATGGAGGCCAGATTCTTATAGGCCGGTGGTTATAGAGGACATGCATGCCAGTTTAAGAGCTAAGAGTAGTATCCCTAGTTCGGTAGAATTAGTAATACCAACCTCATCCGACCGAGCTAACACTCCACCATCTAGATGTGTAGCTTTGAATTCAGCTATTCTACATGCTAGTTTAAGACTTCATTCACTAGGATCATACGTAAATTTCTTTCTTCGTGGGGAATAGCCCCTACACAACTTTGCCCTAACGGGTAGAGGACTTTAGTGGTGACCTTAATTTTGTGGAATCAATTAGAACACCCTGAACTAAGTGTAGCTTAGTTCAATTCTCTTTTTACATTTAAGGAAGATGGGAAAAATACAGGCTAGTGGTACGCCAGCATTAGACCTAGGCTTGGAGGTCCTTTAGTGTTAGATACTTCGTCCTGAATAAAAAAATGGAAAGATAAGTTTTTCTTTGTATTGGGAGAATGGTAGTTCCATCCTGTCGAGGTGAATAGAGAATATGTAGTCCCTACTTTCTATCACCTGTTATGTAAGTGAACATCACATTTGATTTCCATTCCTATTTTTGTGTTAAGATCATCCTTCTAACCAGTTCATTTTTCCTTTTTAGATTACAAGAAATCTAACCTGAGCTCGGCCACGCAGAGACAAGCTGAGGCCATTAGAGCTCTCCCCATGAAGCAAAGGTCCTGCAAATTTGTGATTTCAGACACATGCTTATTTCAGGTAGGGTTATTCCAATCTTTGCCACCGACCTCAACATCAATCTGACCTACTACTTCGGCCTCAACCTCTTCTTTCAAGTATATTCCATGTACTCCTATAAACCTTTACTTTTAACTTGGTACTGATAAGTACGTTTTTACATATTTATTTTACTGTCAAAATATGAGCAGTTGTGATTAATATATTGAAATATAGCTTAATTCTATGCAACTC